GTCTACATCACACCATAGACATGAGATTGTCTTGTAATCTGCCCAGACTGTTATGTGTACAGCAGCATAACCAGAAGCCACCACACTGAATAATGACTTCCTCCACGTGCGCCACCATATGACTTCACTAGTTGTTCAACTCGTTTTGCCTGAATGACCGATACTGACAGCAGTGTGCTGAGCCTTTGTGGAAACATTCGATGTTACACATTGATCCAGAATGCCGGAAGCCCATTGGAAAGTCCGTAACAAAGTCCAAAAGTATTGGATTAGTCCATTCTTCCCCCAAGTATGTAACAAGAAAAAATTTGGACAAATTTTACCTATTAGGACTCCGAGTCACACGCGGCCACAGGGGGGGCATACGTGTGTTTGTACATGTATATACTGTGTATAATATATATATATATATTATATATAATGTTCATATACTGTGTGTTCTGTATATCCGCAAGCTCCTCTCCTCAGTGATCAGCAACATTGTAACTTTGTAGCAATTCACAAGGTGAGAAGCTGCGGCAGGGGGCTGATCTGTGTCAGACAATGTGTTGTAGGAGAGGAATCTGTGCATACTGTACTTCTACTTGGTCATAGAATTTTCTTATGGGATGAACATCATTTATTTCACGTGTGGCAGATTTCCCTGTGGGCAGTGAACTGTGATACAAGCTTATCTCTGCTATACAAGTAGAGAACAATGGGCTACATTGTTTGCACCTTTTTTGGTCATTGCCGTCTATTGCAGTCTTGCACCACACTCTGTCGTGTTGTTGCATAATTATCTGACATTGTTGGTTGTGTGACAGTTTGATCACATATATGTCTAGATATATGTTGGCAAATACTGCTGCCACTTGGCATCTGCAGTCTGCAGATTAACGTTCTCAGGCACAGCCCCCACACTGTGATAACTGTGAAGTAGGATTATGCATTTGTGTATGATGTGAACTAGGAGCGCGCTCTAGTGCTGTGATTATGGTCTCACTGACAGCCTTGGGTTTCAGGCTAATGAACCAGTCAGCATTGTTTCATGTGATCACTCTGACAGCCAATCATGGTGATCACTGGAAGTATGAAGCTGCAATTGCTTGAATTTGCTTTGTAGGGTGTTACAACAAATTAAACCTTACAGCGTAAGGACTTGTTACTATCTGAATCCCCTTTAGAGAGACTGACTCTCGCTTTATACTTCAGAGTTGTCACCAGAAGAGGAATAGAAGTAAATCTTCCAATGGGGACACTTGTTGCAGTGACAGCTGTATCACTATGTGGCTATTTTGGGAAGATTTCCTTTCACTTTTTCTTCAAACACACATGAGCGTTTTTGCGCGGTAAAACGCGCAACAGGTGAAAGCTCATGTTTGCCTATGGGCATGGTTCTCAAAGAAGTACAGGAGCTTCTTTGGGGCGTATTAACGTGCGTATCCTGCTGTATCCATCAGGATACAGCCGGATACCCCCTCGGAAACTCGCGTTTGCCGCGCGTTTCTTTTACCGCAAATCGCGGTGAAACCGCGCGGCAAACGCGAGTTTCCAATACGCTAAGGTGTGAACCCAGCGTAAGGCTTGCATTGCCGGAGTCGCATGTTTGTGCCAATGGAGGCAGAAAGGTGAATGCTGCGGGGGCAGGTCTAGGTTAGAGAAACAAGTTGGTCAGCCAGAGAAGACCATCCTAGCCAATCACCTTTCTCAGCATGTCATCCCTTCTAGTTTGGGTTGACCTGAAAAACCCTCCTAGCCAATCAACATTCTATCACTTCCAAATACAGATGACCAGGAAAAATCATCCTAGTCAATTAACCTTTTCACCATGCCATCACTTCCAGTTATGGTTGACCAGGAAAAACTATCCTAGCCAATCAACTTTCTCAATATGTCAGCTACTCTTGACCAGAAAAAACCTTCCTAGCCAGTCAACATTCTCAACCTACACGCGCGTTTCTTTTACCGCAAATCGCGGTGAAACCGCGCGGCAAACGCGAGTTTCCAATACGCTAAGGTGTGAACCCAGCGTAAGGCTTGCATTGCCGGAGTCGCATGTTTGTGCCAATGGAGGCAGAAAGGTGAATGCTGCGGGGGCAGGTCTAGGTTAGAGAAACAAGTTGGTCAGCCAGAGAAGACCATCCTAGCCAATCACCTTTCTCAGCATGTCATCCCTTCTAGTTTGGGTTGACCTGAAAAACCCTCCTAGCCAATCAACATTCTATCACTTCCAAATACAGATGACCAGGAAAAATCATCCTAGTCAATTAACCTTTTCACCATGCCATCACTTCCAGTTATGGTTGACCAGGAAAAACTATCCTAGCCAATCAACTTTCTCAATATGTCAGCTACTCTTGACCAGAAAAAACCTTCCTAGCCAGTCAACATTCTCAACCTACCATCACTTCCAGTTACTGTCGACCTGGAAAAACCATCCAGTCCAGGCCAATCAACTTTCTCAACATGCCATTTCTACCAGTTCTGGTTGACCGGGGAAAACCATCCTAGCCAATCAACTTTCTCAACATGCCATCACTCCCAGTTACACTTGACCAGGAAACAACATCCTAGTGTAGCGATAACTCCCAGCAAGGAGCCGCTGTTTGCCCGGTCCACATCTAGTCAGTCTAGGAATAGATTTCCATCTGCACCCATTAGCACTAACCGCCCTCTTCTGATGCCCATAAATTGATGTCCACTTCAGTGATACGATGCTAGTTGAACAGTTTATTGAACTTCTTGTTAGGGAGAGAGGGTATAGGGGTTCTAGGTGTCTAGGGGTAACCATCATCCGCTCCAGACTCACCGGATCTTGTAACAGTAAGAATACACGTCCACAATCCAAGAAAGAAACACTGACCATGCTCTGAAGTCCACATGGATCCAGGGCACTTCAAGCGCCTGTACTGGTCCTGGTTCTTTTCTTCTTTCAGGCCTCCATGTTGGAGCCTCAGGGGAACATCTTCCCTCACTTCAGCCAATGCCCACCCCCTGGCCTTGGCCTAGCCTGGGGGGCAGGCTGAACAGGACCCAGCCCTAATCCATGGCTGGTCCAGGCAAAAGAGAGAGCACATGGCAGCTCCCACCCATATATGTACACTATCCCAGCAGGCATCACTGGCTGAAATAAGCCCAGTGGTTGACTGCTGTACTGTACACATATTACAGTGTCTCCTATTGGCTGTCCCCCAATATGACCGAGTCTCACTCCGCCCAGGGGGGTACAGACAAGGTTAGACACCTGGGATTAACCATGTAATTGCTACTACAAATCCAGCCAGGCTGTCTACAGCCCCGGCTATCACTAAATGCATAGTAGTCACATCACAAAAGGGGATGGGCCCTACACTAGTCAATCAACTTTTTCAACCTACCAATACTCCCAGTTACTCTTGGCAGGGGAAAAAACCTTCCTAGCCAATCAACTTTCTCAAACTACCATCACTTTCAGTTACGGTCAACCTGGAAAAACCATCCTAACCAATCGCTTTTCTCAAGATTCCATCACTCCCAGTTACAGCTGACAAGAGAAAACCATCCTAGCCAATCAATGTTCTCACCATGTGATCGCTCTCATTTACTGTCAGACCGGGAGAATGTTCTCTACTATCTATAGGCCAGATAATTACATTCTCCTGTCAGGACTGCGGTATCTGTGTAAGTCTCTTATCAGTTATTAACATGCATAGTACACGGTCTTCCATATAGTTTCTCAACAGCCCTACATCCTTTCTGTTATGATTCAGTTGAAATAGCTCTTTCACACATCTAGTTTTTTTTATGTGTATTTTCCTTCCTCATTTCTGACTTATGACACCCTGTGAGGTCTGTTATGGGCAGAGGGGGAGGAAGTGTCTTTTACTAGAAGTTCATATATAGCTTCTAACCCATTGCTGTATCTCACTATTGCAACGTCTTCCTTGTTGGCCTACACAGACTATCCCCCTTCAGTCTACCATGATTGCTGCTTCCAGAATAATTCACCTTACCAACCGCTCCTTGGTCACACACACACACACACACACACACACACACACACACCCCCAGCCAACCGTTCTACTGGCTTCCATGTACTCCTTTTTAGTGAGATTTGCGTTGCACATCCTGTCCTCGTCACAGATCAGTAGTGATGAAAAATCTCCCCAATAAGAGCACAGACATCAAATAAACACATGTCTTTTATTAACCAACGAGGCCACCTCAATGGCCAATCAAGGCACTCTGGACAGAGAAATGTCAGTTGGCATAGTTCAGTTAAGTTAGGAAAATCAGGCCCCAGTAACAAAGAGAACCTAAATCAGAGAGGAGCTCAGAAGAGCAGTGACTGCAGAAGAGGCTTTCAGGGTAGTATCAGGCAGGCTTTTAAGCGAGGCTTAACATTAAGAACAGGCTCACTTTAATGTCTTGTAATGAGTAGTGTCAATGCTTCCTAATTTGTATCTCCACCCTGACAGAAACTATAGAGTGATAGGTGAAGAAGTAACTACTGCATATTATTATTATTTTATTATTCCCTGGACACGGGAAGCCCAGGCGGTCAGCTGGCAATCCCTGTTCATAAGACATTGGAAGCATAATTTTGTGGAAAGAGCCAATGTATATGTGAATGGAGCCAATCTACCATATAGATCAAGAAACGGTGTCAAGCTTCAGTGATGAGGTGATGGTTACGAGTGACCCCATAAAAGACATTCCTGTGAATGTTTGTACAACCCACAAGATGGTTCCAACCAATGTGTAGAGGTCGTTAGCTCAACCAGTGGTCCATGAGCACCTCCAAGCATATTTTATTTGATATCTGTAAAAAAGATGTCAAGGCAACTGAACTTACTGTATTTATTTGTTCTTGAAGACGCTTCAAGAAAGCAAGCAAGTTCAGTTGCCTTGACTTATTTTTTTACAGACATACCCTGACCTGGATGAATGAGAACCTGCACAGACATACTTTTATTTGAGTATCTCTCTTTGTAACTTGCACTTTAAATCTAATCTTATTCTTATTTCTGCATCATTAGGACATGTCAGGGGTGGCTGCCGCCCCGGTGGGCAATGACCACGTGAGGGATCTCCAGAGTGAGGTGGAAGGAGTAAAGAACATCATGTCTCAGAATGTGGAGCGAATCCTGGCTCGAGGAGAGAACTTGGACCAACTAAGGAATAAGACGGAGGACCTGGAGGCCAGCGTAAGTTGTCATTAACTTCATCTGTATAAATGATATCCTCCGAGTCCAAACTTGTCCTAACATTCTCTTCAGCTGTCATTTGGCTAATTTATATTTTGTATATTTGCAAAATACACCACCATATAATGTGCATAGGCCACCAAAGTTTTGACTAGATCATCTTTCCTGTGTAATTAAAGGTTGGATTAGATGATCTTCATGTTCTTTTTCAACTTATTTTGTCAATTAAAGGTCCACTACACACAAAACCCTGGTGATGGTGTGTACAAATATTGTTACATTGCTTTTTGTAGCACAATATGCTTTTGCTGTGTGATATTATGTGCCATTGCAGTCTGGTATGTTGTTTTTGTTATATCAGGTTTCGTTACTGGTTGATGTTATTTACTATCACACTGTGATCAGTTCTGTAGACAATTCGAATCACGTGATGTAACGATATTATACAGTATAGTTTTTCTTTGCAATACAATGTTAAATGGCATATTATGCTGAATGCAATAAGATGGATGAGTCAATTTGAAGCCCAACTGCGGGCTCGGCCCTCAAATGTGTGACCGGTCACCTTGTCACACATTTTAACATTATCCTGCCAAGTTTTTTGCCGGGGGAATGTGTGACGGGCAATAGGTCAAGCATTCCAATGCTTTTGTCAGCTGCTCCAGGGCAGAGCAGATCGGCAGCACAAATCGTATGTGCAGGAGAACCGATCTGCCCTGGAGCAGCTGATCGTTCCTGAAATGTCACCTCTGTCCGACTCTGTGACTGCGATCTCACATTCCACAAAGTCGGATAGAAGTGACATTTCAGGACCGATCAGCTTTTACTAGGGCAGATCCGTTCTCCTGCACATACGATCCGCGATGCCGATGTGCCCTGGAACAGCTGACAAAGCATTAGAATGCTTGACCTACTGCCGGTCACACATTCCAACCACATGACCGGTCACACATTCTAACCTAGTCACAGTCTTTGATAGAACAGCCCTCCTTTCCTGCCAATGGTGCTTTCTGCTTCAATACAATATGAATGAGTGGCACTGTGTGGTGACACCCCTTAGGGGCAGGGCCATGACCCCAATTTATTCATAGTATATCCTGAGTATGCCACAGAACAAGAGGTGAGAGTAAATCTCCCAATGAGGAATGCGAGTGCCTCTTCTACCTCTGCCTGGGCCCGACCCTGCTTGTGTTTTTTGCCATTGCATTTGGGTATTTTCAGCCAGGACTGTTTTTTTTAGCTCTAATTGGCCCTCATTGCTGAAAGTAGTGGTTCTGGTGACACATTAAGATTGGTATAACTTTAGCTTAAAGTGTTATTTAATCACCACCTCAAGCAACTCCTCTCCCTTCTCTCCTCATTACACACACCTCACTGAAACTTCAGCCTAAAGCTAGTAGAAGTTTATAGCTGAACTCTGGGAATTAAAAAAACACTATCCTGGAAATGGTAGGGGTCCTGGTGAAGAATAATGAGCTGTAATACCATTTTCCTCACTCCTGCAGACTTCCTGCGCCACCTGTCCCCCTGAAGCCTCTCATCTAGGGTGTATTTTCACTGGTGGTGGTCACATGTTGACATCTTCAAGTACAATGCAAGTCACTTTAAATAGGGAGCTGTAGTCACATTCCATGGCATATGACCACTAAGGGAAGTGTTTAGATATTTCTGCGGGAGATACAATAATTAAAATGAGGAGCCTTTAGTTATTGAAATTGTAAAAAATGGGAATGTCGCATCAAAAGTTACTTTTGGGTAAAATCTGTGACAACAGCTTGCTGTGATCTTACTGGAAATACACTTCCTTCTGAGTTTCCCTTTTGCTATCTCAGGGTGTCCCTCTATTATTTATCACTAATTTATAAAAGCACTGACACAGGGGCTCATACATTAACAGCAGGTATTCTTGGAGGTTACTTCATTCCTCCGTATGGTGCCCACAAATGGTTGTCCGCTGCAGCTGTCATATGGCGTAGAGCACGTCAGTTGAGGCCACATGGGTTGTATCTTTTTTAGTAATCCATACAGTTTCCTCATTTGATGTCTACTCTCCTTACGGTTATTCTCTATCTCCTGCAGTCTGAACACTTTAAGACCACATCCCAGAAGGTTGCCCGGAAATACTGGTGGAAGAATGCAAAGATGATCGCCATCATCTGTGTGATTGTGGGAATCATTGTCCTCCTCATCATCCTCCTCGCCACTGGAGTCATCCCCACATAGACTGGTTTTCTGTTTCCACCTTCTTCCTCTTCACTCCCCCACTGAAGACTCACACAGACCTCACATGGATGAATCCCCAAAGACTGGCCAAGAGAAATTCTAAATATCAATGTATAAATGGAGCCTCAAGCTGTCCTTTTTGTAGATGTGCCCAATTCCTCTTAGTAGAACTGTGTGCTCCTGCTTTTCTACACTTTAGCAGTAATCTTTCTAGTCTGAAATCAGCCAACACCGGAATGCTCCCCGTCTGTCTTTTTGTATCCATGTTCGGTTAAAGATGAGATAAAACCCTTCTTGCATAGAATGACATTCTTCTCATATAAATGTAACCTTAAAACAGAACGTAAAAGCTTTATGAAAAGGAACCCTGCATAATACCTAGTATAGACTTTAGTTTGGAGTTGTGTGGATGACCATAGCAAACACATTGTGTCAGCAGATCTTATATATGGGGGTCTATTGGTGGGGTTGGCCTTTTGGCTGATGGACCTTCTCCAAGATATGAACTGCACCAGGAAGTATGCTGTGCACAGAATCTCACCACACATTATCTGCATTCACAGAGGAACATGTTCCAGCAATCTGCACAATCTGCAACTTACATAATTTTTATTTGCTTGCTGTCCATAGAGTGTTCATTCCATGAATGAAAATGCAGAAAATTGAACTAGTTAGCCTGATTTAGCGTTTTGTTCGAGTCAGTTGACATCAGCAGGGGACGTTCTGGGAAGGGATGAGAACCAGGGGTAGGGGCAGGGGCATCATCCTGCAAGCTGCTACACAATACAGGGGGGTCTTTTAGTATATATACAAGGTAGTGTGTATAGCAGGGGTGGATAAATGAATATGGAATTAAGGAGCCAATCTGTCCAATCCAGGAGCCAGCAGGAAATTATTAGAAGTCAGGTCCATTGACAACTAGAGAAAAACTCAAAACAGCCGCCTCCATTGACAACCACTAGAGAAAAACCCAATGGTTATGCACCAGGTGTAATTTTTAAGCTGCATTGGTGACCTGGCTCTTGGGATTTGTCCAGCCTGGTGGATGGGATTCTGTAAAAACCACATTGCTGTGTTTGCTTTAGGTACAAATTACATGGGTACTTTTAATCTTGTAGCAATAAGCAATGTATCAACCTGTTGGCAGTCATGCCATTGTGAAGCCTATTAACTTCAATTTGTTTCATATAAGCTACCTGACAAAAATTGGTTCTCTATCATTTGTAAAATTGATAGGTTCTTACAGTTAGACTGGTCACCATTTGTGGAGGGCGCCATGTTGTATGCTGAACCTTTATTACAACTACAGATCATGCCTCCACAATGCTGTCAAGAGTCAACAAAGTGTTAGAATGTGTTCTAGAACAAACCGGTTCAGCTTTCCAAATGGCTGCCCCTCCAATGAGTTTAGAACAGGTGTTCGTTATTCTTAAGCTTGGTTCTGTCCGATGTAACATTGTGTCATTCTCTGTATGCGTGTCCCTGTATTTCTCTCTATATCTCTTTTATTATCATACGGTTCAGTCTAAGAACTGGAATGCCGATGGAATGCCGATGTTTGAAAAGGCTTTAAAATCCGCAACCACTTGAATAAATAAATCCTGTATAGAGAAGTGAAGGTTCAGTGGGGGACAGGTCTGTCCATCATACCATGGGAGTGAGGACGTTGGGTGGGTGTATATATGGGATAATTACACCATTTAGGTGAGAATGTAATTTAGAAAGAAATTTTAATGAGAAACAAATGAAATGACTTGAATATATTCTCTCGTGAGTTCTCCTTGAAGATACTGTAGAAATCTCCATGTTGTTCTTAATAAAAGCTGTGCAATCTTTGCAACCAGTAAGGGGAGTTGTCCTCGACATATACCAATGGCTACTGTTGAAGTGGTAGACATCCATGGCTGCTTTGAAATTACATTTTCAGTAGTTAAGCATTCTTCACATGACTCCTTAAAAGAAACCTATGCTAAGGAAGTATGGAGGCTGCTATTGCTGACCTCTCCTGAAAATACTGGCTGCATGGCTATCATTTTGATCCAATGGTTTCAATATGTTCTAATTCATTGACCCAGAACTAGTATGCAGATCAGGAATTCTGGCATCATTCTTGAGTTTCATGATCTGCATGCTTGTTTCTGGTAATCAGGGATGCACTCAGGTTTGGACTGAACCTGAGCTCTTCCGAACCAGGAAGGAGCTCCTCCCAAACACAGAATTCCCCACCCACAGCTTGACATAAGCAAAGGTACAGGATGCCGTGATGTCATTGACCTTATATGGCTATGTGACCATATAAGGTAAATTGCACCAGCACAAGCATGCCACCCTTTTATTTACATTCAGCTGTGGGTCAGTGAATACCCGACCCGCAGCTGATTGGGTGGAAGTACCCATGGTACTTCCTCCTTTTGGAGGAGCTCAGGTTCGGACTGCATTCAATTCAAACCTCCGCTCATCCCAACTGGTGATACAAAAGTACTGAAACCATTTGAGAACCAAGCAACTAGTATTTTTAGAAGTCACCAATAACCTCCACCATTTTTTCCCCTCTTTAGGGGGTTCTCAAACTGAGCCACCTGTGTGCATCTTTGTGTTGGTGGAATTCCTGATTAGAGGATAAAGTTTCTAAGGAGAATAGGGCTTTCATTTTCTATATTA